CTGCCTTTTCAGAATCCTCCACTATCTGAAAAAGAATGTTGTTGGTTTTTATTTTGGTACAAATTGTTCTACACTTCCCCTCCCACTCCTCCCTCCCTCACTCTCCCCCCTCCCACGAAAAGAGACAAGAAAGTCCTGGGAATTTGTTGCTGACTGGGATTTTCTTGCCTGTTGTCTGTATGCAGGTTACTTTCCCAGTGAGATCTTTGGGCTTTCGGTGGCATTTCCTCCCAGCGTTCGAGATTTCCTGGTGGAGCTAGAGGTGGGGGGGGCATTTTCCTCTGTGCCCTCCATTCATGCCCCATTCCTACTCCACATGTGGTGGTGTGTCACTGCACCAGCGCTGCCAATGTGTTCGCCAGCCCGTCTCTCTTGGCAAGCTGGCCTATTCACCCCATTTTACAGATGAGCAAAGTTGAGGCCACAAATTTGAGGCAGAGCTCAAAATAGAACCTGGATCTCCTTTAGTGCCCGTGCTGCCCTCACTAGCCCATGCTGCAACGTAACCCTGAGGTGTTACAGATGTAGAATTATTGATCATGTACAAAGGCAGCTCGCCACAACAGTGGCAATAGCGCCACCTGCTGGGAGAGTATGGAGAGCAGTTTTCTCCCCCCCTCCCCCCCTTTCAGTTCCCTCATGCACTGGGAAATGTTGCTGCCTCCTCTTGGCTCTATAGTGCTGGTCACTGACACTGTTCAGAGCGATGGAGCGCGGAGGGTGGGATATTCTTTCTCCTACTGGGCGGCAGTGCTCCCCAGTGCTGCAGCCGATTCATAACCCTCGATATTGCATAGCCAGGTCAGGAGACAGACACGTTTCCGGTCATTGCCAAAGGTGGCAGCGAAGGAGCCAGGCAGAGATGCCCCTGTGGCTACCCACGGGGAGGGTGGCTTTTCCTGTGCACGGCGCGTCACTAGAAACAATTTATTTGGACATCCGCTTTCGTGGGCCAAGCCCCCCTTGCAGCAGACCCCTGAACGCTGATGCCCCAATAAATTGGTTTGTCTTTAAGGTGTCACAGGCCTCCTCGGTGTGTTGGCGGCTGCCGACTAGCACAGCGACCCCCCTCTTGGACTTATCACTGAGCATCGTTAACTCTCTTCCAACGCATAGGAAAGCCCATCCAGCTGCCACTGCCCTGGGCTGGATTTGGAATGCAGCAGCAAGGTCATTCCAGCCACAGTGACATGGATGGAGGAGGAGGGCGGAGCTCGCCTGAGACCTCTAAGCAGGGCCGTCCAGAAAAGCGCTGAGGAGCATCAGCAGGGGTGCTGCAGAAGAAGCTTGTCCTGTCACTGCACATAGTCTAGCTACATAAAAGGAATTCCAGGCTCCTGGCCTGTCTCATGGCATTGTAGCACATAAGGTGAAATTCACTCCTGGGCAGAGGGCAATAGGGCTTATAGGCCTCCATCATGATCATGGGTCTGTTGTGCTTGGTGCTCTGAGGCTTGTGATGGGACTGGAGTGGTGCATAACCCTTGCACTAGCCTGTCGCACCTGGATAAATCCTACCCTTAAAAGTCTGACCTTGGTAACAAAGCCAGATCTGTTTGGAAGCTGCCCAGTGGGAGGCCATGCGGCGATGATGTAACAATTCTACATGACAGGGACAGGGCAAGGCAAACAATAATCCATGTGAATACAAGTGTTTATTTTGTGAGCGAAAAGCTGGACTCGGGAACGTGGCCATATACTGTGCATTATACATGGAGCAACCACGCGCTGCGCCAAGACAAACACACCAGCAGCTGGGGATGAAAAACTAGAGCCGCTAGAGCAACCTTGCTCCTTTAACAAAGGAAATGCAAAAAGGGCTCCGCGCCTTTACATTTAGTGTCACTAATGCTATGTCTACACTACAGGGATCTACCGGAGAAAGGTACACAGCCTGCACGCCGCAATTTCAACACCTTTTTCTGATTTTTTTTTGGAAGAGGCTTTTCCAAAATTTGGTCCCTCTACACCGGGCCAAATTTCGGGAAAGCCTCCTCTTTTGGAAAAGCCCTTCTTCCTCATGGGAGGAGGAAGACAGGGCTTCCGAAAGAGCGCGTTTGCTCTTCTGCAAAAAAAAGCAGAAGAGCAGACGCGTTCCCTGGACCCGGCAGAGTGCTTCTGGTATCCCGGAGGTAAAACCCCATAGTTTAGACATAGCGTGAGTGCGCATTTTAGTTCTTTGGTACAGGTCAGGCTCTCACAGTGCATCAAAACCACTTGCAAGCAGCTTTCCCGATGTGGGTGGCATTTATCACACACAGTGTCTTAGCAAACGCAGCCCTGGTGGTTTGCTGCGGAGAACCAACCCCATTAAAGGAGATCCCACTGACTGCAGGGAGGAGGATGCTGCATAGTTAGCAGAGACCGTTGAATTGGTCAGAGTCCCACCATCATCCCATATGGCTTCCTTCCTCCATAACATATTCCACGTCAATTCATGCGAATACTTTCGGTCCAAATGTAGCTGGACTGATGATATAATCTAAGCTAAGTGTCCAGGCCGGAGAATATAAAATCTATATTGGCTGGAGCAGTGGATTAATAGCAGCCCTCTGCACTTGTACAAGCCCTTTCAGCTCAGGATTTCAAAGCACCTGACAAAGCTCGAAAGGATGTTCATCTTGAGTGGGAATGTTCATCTCGAGCCCTGCAAGTGGGAATGTGACATCAGAGAGGCTGAGGGACTTGTCCGAGGTGTCACCGTGAGCTAGTGGAAGAGACCAGGATAAAATTCAGGAGTCTTGAAGTCTGTGCTGCTTTCCAGGAAAGAATTATGAGAGCTCTTCCACAGGGGGTGAGAGCAAAGAGCAAGTGGCCGGTTGCACGGAAGGTTCGTGTCCATTGAAGGCTCTCCTGTAAGCCGCCATCTAGGCCCATAGGCCTTTGTGAAGAGCTGCAACTTTCAGGAGACCACTAAAGGACCCAGGTGGGACTGTGGCTCTCTCAGGGATAGCAAGTGTGCCCTAATAAATGGGTCTCTAAGGTGCCCTAGGATTCTTGGTTAGTGGTGCTTGCAGAGTTAAGATTAGGTGGCCCTTAGCAGCTCAGTGAGCATCCAGATAAAACCTGTGTCTAGCCCAGCATACGAACGTTCCTCAGCTGACTCTTCAGGCCCCGTGCTCGCTGCCAAAATAGCTGAGGTTTGTCTTGGCCAGGCCATTGAGCTGATTTCTGAGCAAGTATTTGGCTTAAATAGGAAAAGCGAGTTCTAAAGGGCCCTGCAGCCAGCAGCTGGTCAGAGCTGCACACAGGGAGCCGAGTTCCTGTGTTGACTGTCACAGCACCTTCCCCGGGAGTGAGAAAGGCAAGATTCCTGCTTTCCAAGAACCACTCCCTGCTTTTAAGATGTTGGTCGCCTGCTTCCCGTCCAGCAGTACCATAACGTTCCCTGTCCCCTTCAGACAGAGGCGTGACACTAGACCGTCCTGAGGTTCTGAATCATTTCAGCAGCCAATTTCCCAGGGAGCCACCTCGGTGAGGCTAAAAAGGAACAACATTTCTGTTCCTATCCAGCATGTCCCCCGTCTCGGGGACAGACACATACAGACAAATTCTCTGAAATATACAGTAGCTGGCTGTCCCTTTCTCTACCTCTGCCTCCTGCTGGCCCAATGGGGTTATAACTGTCCTGGTCCCCATCTCTGGTCCCTTGCTGCCCCCCTGTGGTCATTCTGAGGTATAATTGTCCCTCCAATCAAACCCCTCCCTTTCCATTTTATGAGAAACAATTGAATTCCAGACACATCCCATTGGTCAGGCACAACCAAGCCCTGACCTTGCTTTAAGCTATGAGAAGAGAAAGCTGCCCACCCAATGTGGGAGAAGATCCTAGCTCTTACTGTTTAGGAGGAATTCTTGAACAAACAGACTCATAGCCAAACAGAGACAGATGCACCTTTCTAAAATACAGAGTACGCTTTACATCAGCATTTCTCTGGTTACGGCTATGCTACAGCTGAGAGGTGTAATTCCCAGGGTGGGTAGAGGTATCTGCACCAGCTGTGCTTACGCTACAGTGCTGAAAGTAGCAGAATGGCCATGGCCAATGGGGAGCGCTTAGTGCCCCATCAGTCCTACGTACGTATCCAGGTAGCCACACTCCTATTGTTAGCAGTGCTTGTTGGAGCAGAGCTCGCGCAGGTACAATGGCCCGGTCTAGGAATTACGCTGCCCAGCTGCTATGTTGAAATGCCCTCACTCGACAAGAACCACTAGTCGGTGCCCAGACTCCAAGTGCCAGCGCAAGGCTGCAGTTCAAACGTGCAAGGCTTTGTCCCCCTGGTGATGTCGCTGCTCTCATTTCCTGCTAGTCTCCTCCCCGCCCTTAGTTTTTTAACTACCCTTTCCCCGCCTATTCTTTGTAGCTTCTCCCATGCTGCTCTCTCCCTCTGCGCCATGCACTCAGCTCCCCCCCACGTGTTCCTTTGAGAAGCGCCCTGGTGCACAGACGCCCTGGCATTCAAATGTCACTTGGAATATTTTTTACGCTGGTTGGCAGTGAGTGGTGGCCACTTGGGGAAGGAGAATTGCACCAAGTCCTGCCGCGCGTCTGCCTGGCAGTGACCAGAAAGCCAAGTGACGTGTCAGTTCACAGTGCCTTGTTATCAGACAGCTCGTTCTGAAAGGCAGGGCAGGCGGGAAAAGGCCCAAACTCCACAAGCACGATAAGAGAATGGCCAAAACTTTCAGGCGTGACTAAGTGGTTTTGATGTGGTGCCCTTAAAGGGATCTGATTGTTTAAGGCATGCCAAGCGCCCGCCCTCTTAAACCAGGCCCCTTGACGTTCCCAAGCTGAGACTCGGAACATAAACGAAGACACCCCCCCAAACTGCCACTCACTTGCAAAGAGCCCCACCCAAACAAAACCACAACGGGCCTTTAGGACTCGCTCGCCAATTTCCACTAAGGCGTGAGTTGATGGTTAACGTCCTCAGAGCTGAACTGATCAAAACTCTCCAGCATAAAGAGGCTCCTGCTGCCTTCAGCCCCCCCAGGCGCATTTTTCATACTGTTCTTATCGATGGCCTCTGGCATTAAGCATCCTTCATGGAACGTTCCAAGGGGATGAGGCTGGAACTGGAGGCCTTCTTCCGTTCCCCTCCCCCTTTTTATTACATAAAGCTGACAACTGCAGATTTGTCCCTTGCTGACACTCAGCCAGTCAAAGGAAGGAGTGCATGTTCATCCCAGCTTGCTGTGCTTTGCTGGGTCCTCCTCCAGCCCTAACTTTCAGCTCCAGTAACTTGATACTGCTTGGCCGGGGCTAATAGAATCCCTCGCACATTGGAAAGCGGCTTCATGTACAGTCTGCATTTCTTTTTTAAATTGCTTTTTGAAAGGCTGCTGGTGGTTCTGCACACGTTGGACTGCAGAGCTCCTTGCAAATGCTCCAGATTGCAACTGCGAGCCGGAGGATTACCAAGCAAATCCAGAAATTGATTCTTTTTACCCCCTCTCTTCCTCTTTTTTTTTTTTTTTTTTTTTTTAATTCAAGGCAGACATGGCTAAAATGGAAGGACTTTCTGCAGAGAGCATCAAAGACTTTCTCTCATCCAGCGAGGAGAAGGGTGGGCGATCTAAATCTATTGTGGGATTTGTTTGCATTTTCCCTCTGGTGGCTTTGTTGGTTACTCTGAAAGATCCAGTTGGAGCTGCAGCTCAGAAATTTCAGGTAGGGACAGGATCAAATTCTCAGATGCTTGGAATAGAATACAGAATATAGAAAAAGTATGTGGGGGGGATGAACTTGTCAACTTGTGGGGTGACATAAATCAGCTAAAAACTCCCCTATGGGTGGCTTGGATGAACTTGTCAACCTTTGGGGGATGACATAAATCAGCTAAAAACTCCCCTATGGGTGGCTTGTCCACTCCAGTAGCTGTGGGTAGTGACTCCTTTCTTCTTCTTTTTTTTTTTTTTGCAAAAGGATCTGAAAGGGAAATGAAAACCCCAAAGATCAGGGTCTGATGCTGATCAAAGATTTCTAGGGCCATGCCAAGTATTTTCTTTGCTATATCCAACCTGTAAATAACCCTTTAAAACACTTGGAGTTTCTCTCCCACAATCTGGCAAGTGGCAAAACTCTTCAATGTGGGAGAGAACACAAGCAGCTGGCGACCCTCAGCTCTGACAGCCCCGTGTGATGTGGCTTTCTGCATTTCCTGGCCTTGTAGCCCCACTGCTCTCTTTCATGGGAACGCGGCGCTACTGACTGACAGAAGCGCTAGAGCCAGAACCTGTTAGTTGCTGTTGTGGCAGATTCATCTTTTACAGTGCTGGAGGCAGGGTCTTCGGAAGCAAACTGGGATTCCTGGGGAACTAAGGCAAAGAAAGGGGCACCCAGAAGCCAATTTAAATGTTGCTGTTTATGTCACATCATGAAATGCCTCTCTTAACTCACACCTCCTCTGCCGTGTGTATGTATTGCCAGCTGACGGCAGTGTCCTATGCTGCTGCATATGCTCAGTACTTTGCCACTGTGAAACTGGTTCTAAGCTCTATAGCTCCACTAAAGTGTCAATCATGGAAATGGGACTCTCTGAACAGGCCAGAGAGAACTAGGAAAGAACTAACGTCTGTGCAACTTGAGAAAGTGAATGAGTTTAGACAAGTGTGGGCAAGTGGACTGTGCCGTAATAGTAAAGGGTGGGTAGTATATTGGCGGATACACGTTCTGGATGCTATCTCTGTATGTCTTGGACCTCATTATAATGAGTAGAACTGGCCCTGATCCAAATGCATAGGTCTGTCTACCCTCAACACCGGTGGGTATGTGAAGGCTTCTCTCAGGTGGAAACGGGCCCCATCTTTACAATGGGCTGACCTGCAGCCTAAATCAGGTTTTACGTTACCTGCGCTAGGCCTGATTCTCCCTAGGGGGACATTTACACTGCAATGCTATTTCAGGATACCAGAGTATCCCAAAATAGCTATCCCGTGTCTTAACAGCAAGCCCGTTATTTTGGGCTGGCTATTCTGACGTCCCTGTAAATCTCATTCTGCGAGGAGTCAGGAGCATTTTGGAATAGCGCTGTATTTTGAAATCTGGCACTGTGTAGACAGCACCAAATGACGAAATAAGCTATTTCGAAATAGCATCAAAAAAAGATACACAAAGGCTACGTCTACACTGCAGGGCTACGTCTAGACTGGCATGATTTTCAGGAAATGCTTTTAACAGAAAAAGTTTTCCGTTAAAAGCATTTTCGGAAAAGCACATCGAGATTGGCACAGACGCTTTTCCGCACTTTTTGCGGAAAAGGGTCCGTGGTCAATCTAGACGTGCTTTTGCGCAAAAAAGCCCCAATTGTCATTTTCGCCAGGACTTTTGCCTGAACGGGAGCAGCATAGTATTTCCACAAGAAGCACTGATTTCTTACAGTAGGAAGTCAGTGCTTTTGCGGAAATTCAAGCGACCAGTGTAGACAGCTGGCAAGTTTTTCCAGAAAAGTGGCTGATTTTCTGGAAAAACTGGCCAGTCTAGACACAGCCCAGGCATTTTGCACAAGAACACACATTCTTGCACCAAAAACGTGCGGAGCGTCTACATTGCACGCACGTTCCTGTGCAAGTAAAGTTGGAAGAGAGGGCTTCTTGCGCAAGAAGGCAGTGTGGATGGGCAACAGGCTAAAATGGCCATCAGAGCTTTCTTGTGCAAGAGAGCATCCACACTGCCATGGACGCTCTTGCGCAAAAGCACATGGCAGTGTGGATCTGCTCTCGCGCAAGACCTTTTGTGCGAGACGTCTTGTGCAAAACCGTTCTTGTGCAAGAAGCCTGCAACTTAGACGTAGCCAAATCGCAGAGCTCAAATTGCATAGCTTATTTCAAGTTATGGTGCAGTGTAGACACACCCTTCCTACTGTCACCAGGCCAGGGCTGGGGAGGAGAAGAGGGCTTTAAGCCACCTATTAAACTTTTATCCTGGGTCAATGTCTGGCCTCTGGCATTAAGTCAGTGCAGCTTCAGGGCTGCTGTATTGTACACCGTGTTTCCCACGTATCCTGAGAAACCGACAACAGCAGTGTGACCTCTGACTACACACACGCAGCTTGCTCTGATGCCCCGGGACTGGGACAGCAGCGGGGTAGAGTCCCTGTACTAGCTCTGTGCCTATGGGGCAGCCCACTGTGCAGGGTATTCGCAGGGAGCTGTTTGCACCCAGTTTTAGGGCCTGTTTATGCTGCCAGAGTGGCTTAAAAGGGCCGGAGTGTTACCCGAAAGTGGCACCATGAAAGCCAATGAGATTGTGCCTGCCTTAAGAAAAGCAGCTAAGGTGAAACACAAGCACACAGGGCTTGCTTAATGCATTGCCGTCTGTAACCTGCATGGGAATCCTTGAAGAACAAAGCACCGGATTAGTTATTATCCCGGCTGTGGTGTCCTGCGCCCAGCACTGACCAGTCCTTGGCCACCTCAGCCCCTTGAAGTTCTTGCATTCAAAGAAGTCTGGGGTTTACACATGCTCCCCAAAGAACGGGAGTCAACATCACGAAACAGGGCCTGACGCATAGCTGAGCTGGCACAAGGCCTGTCTCCCAGAGAAGACAAGTGGGACTGCCAGGTTAAGGTTCAACCTACATTTGGGAAAAGGGGGAGAAACCAGATCACCAGCCAGGGCCACCAGCAAGATGGACACAGAAGAGTTGCTTCTTCCCAGCAAGGATGGGGTCTCTCCTGGGCTTTTGACAAGCCACGTTAGCTAACGGGAGGCAGCGCTGTCTGGTAATTAGAGCATGGGCCAGCAGTCAGCATGCTTGGGTTCTGTCTTGCAGCTGCCACTTGTTGTGTGACCTTGGGTCTGTTTCATTCCTCTGGGCCTCGGCACCTTCATGTGTGCAGTGAACATAACTCTTTGCCTTCCATGCAGGGGGCCTGTGAGGCTTAATCAAGCCACATCTGAGAGTTATTAGGCATATTGATAATATGTTGTATCAGTCTGACATCCTACAAATACGGCATTTTCCCAATATGTGTCCTTCACCCAAACAACGAAGGCAGTTAGCATGCTGACTGGCATAGGCTCGGGTGCAGGCTTTGAAGAGGGGGGGATGCCTCACCCCAGGCTAAGTCTCTACGGGTATGTCTAGACAGCAGCGCTGTTTCAGGATATGTCCAGTATCCCAAAATAACTTTTTCTGTGTCTTAACAGCACGCCCATTATTTCGAAATGCATCGAAATAATGGGCTTGCTATTCCAGTATCCCAGTAAACCTCATTCCATGAGGATTAAGGGACTTGTCGGAATAGCGTTCTATTTCGAAATGTGGCGCTGTGTAGACAGTCTATTTTGAAATTTGGCACTATCTTGAAATAAACTCAAAGTAAGTTATGCAATTTGCGTTGCTCAAATTGCGTAGCTTATTTCGAGATAGCACCACTGTGTAGATGCACCCTAACAGTATGTCTACACTACAAGGCTACGTCTAGATTGGCATGATTTTCCAGAAATGCTTTTAATGGAAAAGTTTTCCATTTTTGGAAAAGAGCATCTAGATTGGCACTTTTTGCGGAAAAGCGTCCGTGGCCAATCTAGACGCGCTTTTCTGCAAAAAAGCCCCGATCACCATTTTCGCGATCGGGGCTTTTTTTGCGGAAAACAAATCTGAGCTGTCTACACTGGCCCTTTTGCGCAAAAGTTTTGCGCAAAAGGACTTTTGCCTGAACGGGAGCCGCATAGTATTTCCACAAGAAGCACTGATTTCTTACAGTAGGAAGTCAGTGCTTTTGCAGAAATTCAAGCGGCCAGTGTAGACAGCTGGCAAGTTTTTCCGGAAAAGCGGCTGATTTTCCGGAAAAGCTGGCCAGTCTAGACACAGCCCAACAGTATTTCAAAATAAGTTATTTCCGAATAATAATTCCCTAAATACCTATTTCAAAATAGCACGTCAACACTACAGGGCAGCTTTGAAATTAGTCCCAGGCAGGCTCCTCTAATGTGGATGCAGTACCTCGATTTAGAGCCGCAGGAAGTACCGGGGAGTAATGACTTTGAATGGCTCTGGGGAGTGATGTGTCCATTCTCCCGCTATTTCGAGATAGGCGTTATTCCTCGTGAAATGAAGGTTTCTTATTCCAGATGGAGCCTGTTATTCTGAAATAATTTCAAAATAACGGGCTTGCTGTGTGGACGCTCACCTTGTTTCAAAATGACGCTGTAGTGTAGACCGTGCCCTTAACAAATGCTAAACTGAACTACTTACAGGTACTTAAACTAACGGAGATAACTAGCTACAGCACAACAGAGAGGGAAGACTAAGCTAAGGCTGGAGCAAGCTCTTCCTAGCACCCTCACTGGGGACAATAAAGAACCTGAGAAAGGAGGGGTCCGGGAGCACCCTACACAGTGTGGCATACATGTGCCACTCCAGGGGGCGCTAGGACCCCTGGCCTGTATGGCCACTGCCTGGGGAAAATCTACTAGCACTGGTACATGGGGCAAGCACACATACCTATGCTGAATGGACATGAGCAAGCACGCCAAGAAGAAACAAGCAGTCTATGAACCCTAAAGCTAGGAGGCTGAGGTGGTAGAAGATTGCTCTGTCACCCCCCTCATTTTCCTCCCCTCCACCACCAGAATGAAAAGAGCCAGGCCTCTTGCCTAAGCCAATGAAGTCGGGGACGGCAGCAAAGTAAAGGGCTTGCTTGTCTTGTTTTTTGAGGGTCTTCAATGCATCCGCTGCTCCAATTTACTTTTGGGGAGTTTCAGGTTCACAGCCCAACTTCATAAAGGGCTCCCGGCAGAAACGTGAGCCTGCCTGACTCATTCATCCATAAGCTTCTGGGGGTAGCCAAGTTAGTCTAGAAAGAGCTACCAAACCATTTGCTGTTTTTTAAGTTTATCCTGTACAGACTAACAAAACACATAGATGGGATCATGAGCTTTCATGGACATAGCCCACTTCTTCAGATGAAGAAACACCCGGTAAAAACTCAGGTCATCTGAAGAAGTGGGCTGTGCCCACAAGAGCTTGTGATCCCATCTATGTGTTTTGTTAGTTTATGAAGTGCTACCAAACCATTTGTCGTCATTCATCCATGTTACAGCTCACGTTAGGATGACACCAGAGACAGCTGGCAAAATAAAACAAAGTGAGAACTTTCCAGGAATTGCTGCAATCCCTGTGGCCGCAGATTCAGGCTACTTCTGGGCCACCTGACACAAGTTGGGGCTGTACGGAGGCAGCTCTGTAACTTACACCACTGATGGGAGGTCGCCTAGAGAGCAGAGTTCCACTGCTCTGGATTCTGCTCTTCCTGCCTGGCCCCGTCCCAAGAACGCTTCTCTGCACACCGAGGCTGGGGATACAGGTTGGACCCTCTTGGTCCGGCACCCTCCGAACCTGACTGGTGCTAGATGAGGGATTTTGCAGGAGTAGGGGAGGTCATTTCTGGCCCCTCTCCAATGTCAGCCCCACCCCCTGCCTCACACTGGCCTTCCCGGCTTCCCCTCTCCCCTACCTGAGCCGAAAACCGGGCTTCCTGGCTCCTGGAGCCCAGCTTAGCTGTACATTGGCTCTGCCCTCCCACCACCACCCAACTGGGCCACATGCTGGGCTCCTACTCACCCCTTGCATCATGCTAGGCTCCCCTTCCGCATCGAACCGGGCTCCTGACTCCCCCACAGCATGCTGGGACGCTGATTCTGAACCATCCATGGTCCAGCCAAACCAGAAAGTCACGATTTATAGAGGTTCAACCTGTATTTGAAGATGTCACAATTCCCAGGGGAGTTTCCAGGTTGAGAGGAAATTCTCCACTGACCTACTTCACAGAGGCCTTAGCAGAGTAGAAAATCCAGCCAATAGATGTCAGCGACAGAAACGGCCTGCGAGCACCCATCTAGTTCCTCGTCATCAGGAGAGAACTCCTCTCTTGGCCATTCCTGGTGCTTCGCCTTCTTGTGGCGCAACCGCTGCAGAGTCGTAACTAGCTAATTTGGTGCCTGAGGCAAGACCATCCTCAGCGGGGGCGGGGGCGCTGACGTGGCGCGAGGCATGAGCAAAGACAGAGTAGTAGCTGTCTTTTCCGTGCCCTGCCCCCCCCAGCTATGCGCCCGAGGCAAGTGCCTCACTCACCTCGCCCTTGTTACGGCCCTGAACCTCTGGGGCATTCTGGGTAGTCTGCCAATGTACATCTTGCTGTGTGCTTCCTATGCTAATGTGGCGGGGGTTCTAGCACAGGAATCAGGTCCAGACGCAGGAATTTCGGGGAGGAGGGGATGTGCGAGTTGTGGGAAGGAGGCTGGTAGCGCACTGCCTCTGCCTTTCCCAGCCTGGCCGGAATTGGCCCCATGGTGGACCATGAAGGACCATGTGGGGAGGGGAGTGTTTGCACCCTTCGCACACACCCCCGCGTATGGGCCTGGGAATGGACACTCTAAAACGTATTTCCAGGTACAGGCAAGGGAAGCGCCGGGAGGGGCGGGGGAGAGAAATGTTGGGTTTTCACCAGATCTCCTCATGGAGTGCAGTGTAGAAAGCCTGCAGCATCCATTGCTGCTTTGGGAGGGACAGGCAGGGGCCCACCAGTTGGTACCAACATATGCAAGTGCCCTCACATGGGCTCAAGCGCCTCTGACCACCTGTTTGTCTTTTAAGGAAGACACCATCTCGCCCAGCCTCCAGTGGGTGGGTGCCCCGGCTCTCCAAGGCCTCGCGCTCCCACACTTCCCCCGTGCCCGGAGAAAACGCTACACGCTCACACCGGGCCAGCTGAAATGGGACCACTTCAACCTGACGTACAGGTATGAAAGTGTGCGGACGCCACGGGTGCCCGGTCTGCAGCGTCTCTTTGGGCCTGCCTGCCTTTGACACTTGTGTTTTCCTGCTGTGGAGGTGCGTGCTAACTGATCTGCTAAGGAGCAGTGGACAGCCGGGAACAATTCATCACCCAGACACACATTGGCATAGGCTCTATTCAGACAACTCCTGCTAGGTCCCTCCCACAGGTTGCACAGATCATTGGACCCCTACAAATCCACTTTGTATCCACAGGTATCCACGCCCAGAGATGAGGTAGCCATGGGCAGATATGGAGCTACACAGGGCTCTACAGAGCAGGACTCATGATATAAGGAACTCATGCATGGTGTGACATTCATGGTATGATGCTTGCTAAAGCAGGGGTGGGTAAAAGGGCCTCTGTGGGCTGGACCTGGCCCACAAAGGCCCTGCCGCTGCCCCTGGCTCCAGGCCAATCAGGGGCGTGGGGAAGTGCGCGAAGTCTCCTCCTGCCCTGCCCCCACCCTGAAAGGAGTGCACCGTGCTTAGAAGTGCTACACACTCCTGGCAGGGCGGGAGGAAACTTCACGCGCTCCCTCCGCCCCCAAACCCTGATTGGCCTGGGGGAAGAGGGTGAGCATGCGAAGTCTCCTCCCACTCTACGAGGGGTGTGGCACTTCTAAGCACCATGCACTTCTTGCAGGGTGGGAGGACACTTCACGCACTCCCTCCACCTCCACTCTAAGCACATGCTCCTTTGCAGGGCGAGGGCTGGGAGTGAGAGACTTCACATGTTCCCTTCCTCAGGCTCTGATTGACCTGGGGACGGCAGGGGGGAGTGTGCGAAATCTCCCCCCTTCACCAGGGGCACAGGGACCTAGAGGGAACCGCCCGCTGTTCAGAACAGCTGGGTTGACACCCCTACACTTCCCTTTGACCACAGGACCGAGCCAACCTTCCAACCCTCTCTGGGAAAGACATTTGGTGTCAGTTCATGCTGGGTGGGCTCAGTGCTGGCTGAACTGCTCCCCAGGAAGGTGACGGTCCGATTGTCATTGACTGCCGTGGGAGCAGAGTTAGACCCACGTGAGCCTGCAGAAACCTACAGGTTGCCATTGGGTAGGGTGCTGCTCTGGGTTGACACCCCTACACTTCCCTTTGACCACAGGACCGAGTCAACCTTCCAACCCTCTCTGGGAAAGACATTTGGTGTCAGTTCATGCTGGGTGGGCTCAGTGCTGGCTGAATTGCTCCCCAGGAAGGTGACAGTCCGATTGTCATTGACTGCAGTGGGAGCAGAGTTAGACCCACGTGAGTGCTACAGATACCCCACTGTGCTCGTGGCAGAGGTGGAACTTTATCTTTCAGATTAGACCCTAAAAAACCCAATGGCTGCTAGGAAGGTAGCATGTCCCGGCTCATCCCACCAGAATGGAGATGTGCCACACGGCCTAAGGCCGAATTTCCTGCCCACACACGGGGCTGTCCAGAACGCTGCCTGCCCACTGCCTGCCCCACACCGCTCTGGACGTGGTGGAAGTTTGGAGCAGCTGCAAAGTGAGAGAAGACCTGTTTTGGAGAGGACGGAGCAACGTGTATGTACAATGAGGATGGTATTTTCCTCTGTGAAATTGCCAATCATTCAAAGACCACATGGCTACGTCTACACTGGCCCCTTTTCCGGAAGGGGCATGTAAATTTCACGAGTCGTCGTAGGGAAATCCGCGGGGGATATTTAAATATCCCCCGCGGCATTTAAATAAAAATGTCCGCCGCTTTTTGCCGGCTTTTAAAAAAGCCGGAAAAGAGCGTCTAGACTGGCCCCGATCCTCCGGAAAAAGTGCCCTTTTCCGGAGGCTCTTATTCTTACTTCAAAGTAAGAATAAGAGCCTCCGGAAAAGGGCACTTTTTCCGGAGGATCGGGGCCAGTCTAGACGCTCTTTTCCGGCTTTTTTAAAAGCCGGCAAAAAGCGGCGGACATTTTTATTTAAATGCCGCGGGGGATATTTAAATATCCCCCGCGGATTTCCCTACGACGACTCGTGAAATTTACATGCCCCTTCCGGAAAAGGGGCCAGTGTAGACGTAGCCCATATTTGTGGGACCAAAAGCTTAAGAGACTCAATTCACCACTAGCATAAGCTGCCGCAAGACCTTGGACTTGGTGACATTGCCCCAGGAAAAATGGCCCAGTGTGTGCGCAGCACAGTTGCATCGAGACTCTACCAAGACAGCACGCCCCAAACTTGAGCCAAAGCAACGCTCTCGGGAATGACCCAAGCCTAAGTCTATTGGTCAGCCCCTCTGCTGGCCCAGCTCCAAAGTCAGGCAAACTTACACCACTTGTGGAGCTAGTCCTTTCTTGTTCCTTTCTGGCCTCCCCACAGTAACTGTGACGTGTTCAGGCCTTACGCAAAACGCCACGAAGGCACCAAGGGAGGAATGGCTTCTGGCCAGCCAACGCTGTGCCCATCAGAAAGGCAGGCCAGGCATGACAGACAATGGCATCCATGTCCCGAGAGGTGCTTTGCTTCTTTGGGATACTGGGGAGCAGTAAAGAGACGTCCTGGATGGCCGGTCCTGTTGAACGTTTGTGCATTAGCTGTTTAGATACAACCAGTGTGGCCTGGGAATCCCTCCAGAGTCAGCTGAGGCCTGGCAGGTGCGACCTCGCTGCTCTGGTGCATCTCCAGCAGGAGGCCAGGGGTCCGGATGTGGTTTGCACCTCAGCCTTGGCAGGAGGCCTTAGGTCTTGCTAAAGAAAGGCCCCTTGTTAACATCCTTGCTGAGAGGGGAGGGCGCCCTTCTGAGAACTCCTGAGGTGTGAAAACATTAGTCAGAGTAATATGTGGTGACAACCACCCCTTTATAACACCCCCCCTCAACCTGGTCTGGCCTTTAAAGTGCAGCGAGCCCACTCTGAAGTGATCTTACAAGGCAGCAGCTGCTGCTCAGCAGACCCGGATCTAATCAGACTGGGTTTGGAGACCTGAAAGTGGCCTCCTGCAGCAGGGAATGCCTGTCGCTGCCCCCGCCCTGCACTGGGAGGAGGGTTGTTTCGGGGCAGGGAGGATCTTGCTCCCTTTCCAGCTGGGAGGCTTCCCAGCCCAGCACTGAACTGGATGGGGGAGTCTCATCTAAACCAACAAACAAGCCAGGGAGGAGGATCCAGTGATGTTTGCATTTAGTTTGCTGTAGGCAACGGACAGGAGGGGGGTTCTAGCCGCCTGTGGCAGGGGCTTCCACCTTGCCCCTTTCACCTTGGCAAGGGCCCGGGAACAGGAGGTCCGGAGGCCCTTAGAAAGGGACTGGGTGAGCATTGCAGTGAGCAGCAGGCCCAGACTGGCAGTGCTACTGTCTGGTCCCCGGGGTAGCACTTCCATCCCAGTGTCTCCCCGTGACTTGTCAGGTGTCCCCCTCCTCCTGCACCCACTGCACCATCCCGACCAGCACTAGGTCAAAGCCCCAGAGGGACAATGTGCCCAGCAGCCATTGCGGGGGGGAGGGACCTTTCCCCCACAGTCTGGCTCGTGGGGTGCTAGATTGTCATTGGCCAGAGGACCAGTCCTTCCAAAGGGACAGGAGAGGTCAGTGCTGGGCAGCCGCCAACCCAACCAAATCACGTGGGGTGCTGCAGAACAGCACAAACCCTCCCTCCCGCCCGGAGGAGAGCAGTGAAAGCTGGAGCTGGTGGTACCGTGGGCAAGAATTAAGAGCCAATAACTCATTGTCCACCAAGCATCATGGTACCTCCTCCGCAGTGGACAGGGCTGGGCAAGATGCGGCCCAGGGGTCGGATCTGGCCCAAACACTTGGATCTGGCCCCTGGACTGTATCTGGCCGCTTTCTATTTACATCCTGATGCCACTGAATTTCCAGGCGGTGACTCAGGCAGCAGGATCCTATTTAAATGGCTCCCGGTCATGGCACTTCCCCAGCAGCGGCTGGAGCCGCGAACCCTTCACTGTGTTTTTAATTCAAAGCCTCAGGCAACCCAGGAAAGAGGCTAGTCCCCAGCCCCAGCCCTTTTGCCCCAGGCCCCGCCCATTCCGGGGCCAGCCCTGTGATCATGTACCAAAATGTATTAAGTGGCCCCCCCATGCGAAAGTTATTGCCTACCCCAGGCTAAAGAGTCAATCACCCTAATTAAACTACCCGCTGTTCTGCAACTAGGCCTCGCTCTGAGCCCATAAAGTCAACAGAGACGCTCACCGATTGCAATGGGCTTTGGACTAGACCTCTAGTCTAGTTCAGTGAAACATTGAAGATGGGAACCTCCCCTGGTGAGTAGTACTGGGACCTTCAGCTGATGAATGGGGACGTCTAGGGTCTATTTGACGCCAGTCTGTGTCCCTGCAGAATTGTGTCCTTCCCAAGAAACCTCATCAATGAGAGCGACACGCGGAAGGGACTGGCGGTGGCTTTCAGAATGTGGAGCAACATTTCACCCTTCAACTTCAAGGAGGTGCCACGCAGCTCGACGAGCGACCTGATAATTGGTAGGTCGGCACAACCCTGGGGTCCTGCACTGAAGAGAGAGTGGGCTCTGGCCCAAGGCCACGTCCTGTCTCCAAAAGGGGGTCTGTGTTCCTTTGGTGGCAGAGTTACTGAGAGGTCTGGGTTGAAAGAAACCCGGGTAACAGAAGAACTTTCGGGGTAAGACCCAGGGGTCCTGCCACTGGAATACCCCTCCCCATAGCACAACCTGGACCACGCCCTCTGGCTGGTCCTGGTGATGCAGCCTCAGACCTGGGGTGCACCTGCCTTCTCTCTGGGAGGGATCTACTTCAGTGTGTTCAGCAAAGGAAGGGGCCACAGTTGCCTGTGACCCAGGGAGCTCAGACAGTGAAACCTCCCCGGGATTATGCCCACTTCACAGATGAGGAAACTGAGGTGCAGAAAAGGGAAGTGACTCACCCAAAGTCACAGAGGGAGCCTGTGGCAGAGCCCGGGACAGGGCACAGCTCTCCTGGGTCCTAGTCTGGTGCACTGACTGGTAGCCATGCTGCCTCCTGGTATTTTTTTTGTAGAGATGTCCCAGTGGCCTTCCATGGGCCCCAGGAGGGACAACACCTCAGCAATACTCTGTTCGCCCTGCTTCCTCTTCCTCGTGCAGAGCACGGGCCTACCTGTACATTTACATCACACTCCTCCCCATGGTTCCTGGGCTGCTCTTATAGGTACAAGCGCAGTAACTGAAGAGGAAGTTCAATGCAGATTCTCCTTCTTGTGCTAGCAGTGTTGCCTAGTGGCTAGAACACTGGAGTGGGACTCAGGAGACACATGCTCTATTCCCAGCTCACCATTGGCCTGCTGATGCCCTGGGACAAGTCACTTCACTTCTCTGTGCCGCTGGTCTGTGAAAGGGGGCTAATGGTGCCTCCTTTGCAGTGCCTTGAGATCGCCCGATAAACATACTCGACAAGAGCGAGCTGCCATTCTTCTCTCCCCCACACCCTGCCAGCTCTCCAAATGCTCCATGCTGTTCTTGGAATCCTATTAGAATCACAGAACACTAGAATTGGAAGGGACCTCGAGAGGTGATCGAGTCCAGTCCCCTGCCCTCACGGCAGGATGAAGCATCATCTAGCATAGTTATTCCTCGTCTCTGGTTCCTTTTTCACCATCCACTGTACCATTCCTTGCAAAATCAGACCTCTGCTCCAGGACTCAGCTGCGCATGGGTTTGTTTGTTTCTTTGTTTCTTCCTTTACCATTTCCCTTTGTTCCACCTAAGCTGCTAGGCAGCTTCACTGGGTGTCTTTCTAAAGTGCTCAGTCCTGGGCAAACACAATAAAAAGTTTAATCCTGGGTCATCTGGTTAGTTTCACATTCTAGATGTAAATTCCTCTCATGATTTATGGCCCTTGGGAGACGTGATGATTCCTTCCTGGGCAGACTGCGGTGTCGTTGGGATTTCCAGCGAAGTTTCCATTGTTTCACAATATGTTTTTCACTCTGCTATTGTGTGACACCACCTGAAAGCCTATGATCCATTGCTCTAGGGGCCTTGCCTAACAGAGAGCAAAATGCTACCACAGAGGCGCTCCACAAAGCAGCCTGAGAAATAGGACTGACACACATGTAACTACAGCGCAAACCTGAAAGCCAAGTTCTACACCATGGCCTGGAACAAGCCACTTAACCTCTCCATGTCTCCGTTAAATCCAGATTTAAAATGGGAACACTTATTTGACTCCACGGGCATTTGTGAAAAGCTTTGGATGGACATTCATTGCAGGCAAATGGTTATAACTAAATACACCTTTCTAAGGCCATGTCTTCACTAAATGAAAGATCCACGACGAAGTGATCCATCTTCCGGAGTTTGATTTAGCCAGTCTAGTTAAGACTCACTAAATTGAACTCAGAGGGCATCCCCATTGGCAACAGGTACTCCTGCTTCTGCAAGGAGTAAGAGAAGCTGATGGGAGTGTTTGCTCCGTTGACCCACCGCAGTAGGGACGGTGGGGAAACTGGTGATAGGTTAGCTCTGAACAAGACCCAAAAATTCAAAGGCATTTACAGCAGCAAATAAAGACCAGAATAATCCAAGCTGCATTGGATGACTGAGTTCACACTGGGCCACGCAGGGAAGCAGAAAGTAGCGTTGACCAGACCGGGTAGGGATCTGATGCACTGGGATAGGGGAAGTGGTTTCATGTGATGGGAGGTGGACATTAGGGATGTAAAATCCCATTTAATCAGATAACTCTTCACTGGTTAACCAATTAAGTGGCATCCTGTGGACAGGGGGCTGCTGCCTCCCAACCCCGCTAGGGATGTTAGATATCAGGTAATTGAATATTCGAGTAACCGCATGAGTTCTTATTGGTTACTGGACTATTCTGTCGTCCCTGGGGGCAGGGCTGGCAGTCAGTGCATTCCTTGTCCTGTTCCTGAAGAGCCCCTGACACCCCACGCTGCTGCCTCTCTATCAGAGAGACAGCAGTGTGGGGTGTCAGGTGAGAGCTGGTTTAAAAAACAGCTCCCCATACAGACTGGCTCCCGCTTGCTGCCTCTGTATTAGAGGCAGCAGCATGGGGCAGCAGCAGCCCCTGTCTGCAGGGGGGCTGAGTTCCCTGCAGATAGTGGCTGATCCACGGCAACAATCCCTGTCCACGAGGGGGTCTAAACTTCCCGCGGAGAGAGGGATCAGCCTCTGTCCGCAGGGAGCTCGGATCCCCCGTGGACAGGAGCTGCTGCCACAAAGTAGCCTGGGCCCACCACAGACAGAAGCTGCTCTGTGGTAGCCTTCCCTGCCCTCACTGTGCTTTTAAGACAGCTCCCCCTGAGCACCGGCTCCTGCCTGCACCCCCCCCCCCCCCCCCACTGCCTCTGTAGGACACAGCATGGGGGGGGCAGGCAAGTCCGCAGAGCCAGCTCCCTCATCCTTCCTGCCTCTGATACAGAGGCAGCAAGACAAGAGGAATGTGTGTAGCCGACAGGATAAACTGATAAGCCAAGGCTTATCAGTTAATCGTGTAGCTGGCCACACACTGATGCTCCAAATCCTCGCAGGGCTGCCAGCCTGCCCTGGTGGGACTTGAGCAGCCCCCTGCCTGCAGCTGGCCACGGGCTACTTCCAGGTGTTGCTTAACCGGTTACTGTAACCGTTCATATCCATAGAGGGCACGTTGAGCTGTGGTTGCTGGTGTCCATGCAGTGCTTAGGCTCAGCATTTGATTGATTGGGTCACTGCCTCCTTACTGCCCTGATTTAAAAAGCAGGCGTTTCCACTTGGTGGCAAAACAGGAGCTCCTGAGCTTAACTTGTGTCCTTTGAAATCCGCCCTAAATCCAGTGTCACCCCAACACCTTAGAGCTGGACCGGATTTATATTATTCAATGCTTATTCCTACCTGTCTCTTTATCGTTGTTTTCCCTTCTGTGCAACTGTAGGATGGAAAACGTACATGTTTTAGAATATGGCCCTGAGATTCTCTCCCGTTTGAGTCCATGTATGTGTGAAGGATCCTGACTAGCCTTATTGTATGTATTCTCTTTCACAGGCTTCTATTCCATAAACCACACGGATTGCCTGGAGTCACTCATCCACCATTGTTTTGATGGGACGACAGGGGAGCTTGCCCACGCTTTCTTCCCCAAAACTGGGGAAATCCATTTTGATGACCATGAATACTGGATATTGGGAAACACCCGGTTCAGCTGGAAAAAGGGTATGTGACTGGTCTTGGAGAGGGTCTGCTTCTCAAGAGATTGATTGCATTTTTTCATCGTGATGTTGCTTACTCTTGGAATCCTGAAAGGTTCACAAGACACAAATGCCCATGATATGTGGCTGTTAGGGATGGACCCAGGCTGAAATGTTTGGTTTCAGACTGAAACTTCCCCAGAGGTTTGAGGCAGTCCCTAGTAGTTAGGAAGGCACTGTATCAGTGTCATAACCAAGTCTGCAGGAGCCAGCATTTTCTAGAGACACTACCTTGGATGGACGTGCATGCTGTTGACATAAGTTGTTTCACCTCCATCAGTTCAAACCTTCAGAAGATGTTTCCAACCATGATTCATTTTCCTTGGTGCACATGTGAAACAGAGTGATGAACCGGCAGCTAGATAGATTGCCATTGTCCCTGCAGGAGAGGCTTTGCTGGAATAGAATTGATCACTTTGTTTATCAGGGGTTTACTACAGTAGGGGCCAATATCTACCCACCTTTCTTATGCCAAGACTGCAGGAACTTGAGTAGAACTCCTTGTGCAAGGCGAGCAAGATTTGGCCTTAGGCCTTTATTTAGGTGCAGAGTTTCTCCCCGTCTAACCAGTACTGGGAGAGACAAAAGGAAAGTTTGGTATGATTTTTGTGGCTGTTGGTTTGCTGGCTGAACTCCAGCCATGGCCTGTTTTGGTGGCAGTTCCAGCTCTGAGTAATTCAGTGGGCTCCAATCACATTATAAACAATTGGGGCTGGCGTCAGCCCAAGCAGCTGCGCTAGCTCTGGGGAAGGCCACGTTATGTTACTTTGATTTCTTGGCACGGCTGTTCACATTTTTGTGGTCCTCTGTAACCAGCTTTCCTGCGTGCATGCTCATTTTCAAGCTTGTGGGCACCTAAAGATATCTTGGTTACTTTTTTTTAAAAACAATATCTAAAGTAACATTAAACTACAAGCAGATGGTCCCTGACCAATCAGCAAACTCAATTCATTTTAAAAGGCAATTGTTATATCTTTGATACACAGCTTTTTTTGTTTTTACCAAAAAAGAAGGTTTAAAAAAAACAAAAACAAAGAAGCAGGGTAGGAGAAACTTTAGAAATGCATCCAATGTTTCTATCTTTTTATGATTCTAGCAAATGGTCTTTTTTCCTTTTTCGTGTGGGTAAGAACACATGCGCTATATATATGATACATATGAAACGTGTATAATGTTGCATATATTATGTATAAAACACAGATGTGTATATGCCAAGACTTTTTAAAGAGACCAGTGATTCTGGGTTTTCAATGAGACATTCTTAAAGGGACTTGACTTTTCAGAGAGCAATCTTCTAGTCTTCTTAAAGCAGGCTCATTACAGCATTTCAAATGAGGCCCCCCAAATCTCTAGTTGCTTTAAAAAGTATTGACATTTTATTCACACACACACACACACACACAATTACATGAGCAAACAGCTTACATGTAAGTGAAGGACTGCGAACATCAAGGCTCAAAGGGAATTACTTATGGCTTGTCTGTATGGGGACACTTGGGGAAGTCAAAGTATGTCTGCACTCGAGAGGCAACATTGACACAGTCCCATAGAGTAAACATAGCCTACACTGACAGAACGAATTATACTGGAGGGAAAAATTAGACTGTCGGGGAAAATCTGCTGAATTACTAGGCTAGAATAATTTCCCAAGGGAAGTGGTGGGAGCACTTGCGACATGTTATGGTTGAACTGGATAAAACACTAGAAAGAGTTCTGCAGTGATGGCAGAAGTGATGACATTCACAGCTATGCACAGCACCAGCACAGACCTAGACACCATCTAATTCGCCTGCAGTAGACGCACACCAGAGTGCTTATCCCGTGAAATGGGAGGTTCAGAATGGACCACTTTTGAGGTTGGAATCACAGACTCTAGGGATCAACGTTTCAGGTTTCAATTTAATGGGCCTAGCAAGGACCCGCTAAAACAAATGCTGAGTGCGCCCAGTACTGCAGGAGGTCATAAGGAGTAAGGGAAATTGCAGTTTCTCCCATCGACCTCCCGCAGTGGGGCCACCACAGAAATTAAATCTAAGGTACTTGACTCCAGTGCCACTATTCTCATCACTGGAGTTCATAGAATCACAGAACACTAAAACTGGAAGGGACCTCGAGAGGTCATCAAGGCCAGTCCTCCGCCTTCACGGCAGGACCAAGGATCATCTACATCAGGCCTGATAGATGTCTATCCAACCTGCTCTTAAATATCTCCAGTGATGGAGATTCCACAACCTCCGTAGGCAATTTATTCCAGTGTTTAACCACCCTGACAGGAAGTTTTTCCTAATGTCCAACCTAAACCTCCCTTGCTGCAATTTAAGCCCATTGCTTCTTGTCCTGTCCTCAGAGGCCAAGGAGAACAATTTTTCTCCCTCTCCTTGTCACACCCTTTTAGACATTTGAAAACTGCCATCAAGTCACCTCTCAGTCTTCTCTTTTCTAAACGCGCTCTGTGCTCACCCCGTCTCTGGGAGTAGGCAGGCCCAGCTGTTCCCCCCAGCCACCAGGGAGGGCAGGGCCAGGGCCATATCAGCCCTGGCCTCTCACCCCTCCCCCCCCAGCCTCTGGGGAGGAAAGCATGGGCCTCTGGGGGCCCCCGTCCCTCTCCCCTGCAGCCAGTCTGGGCCCCTCAGCCTCCACTCCACCGGCCAGCAGAGAAGGGCCAGGGCAGCACAGGCCATGTTCTCTCGGTCCCCTCTGGCCAGCGCAGAAGGGCTGGAACGGCACAGGCCACATTCTGAGCTAATTGGGTTAGCAGCAGGGAGGAGGGACACAGAAGGCCGGAAGGCTGAGGGACTGCAGGACGCAGTGTGACATGATATCACTCTGTCATCCCCACAGGAAAAATGTTTTTTTTTAATATATAGAAGAAACAAGCCCAGTTCTTTCAGTCTTTCCTCATAGCTCATGTTCTCTTTAATCATTCTTTGTTGCTCTTCTCTGGACCTTCAATTTCTCCATTGAAATGGACCTTCAATTTCTCCATTCTCTTGAAATGCGGTGCCCAGAACTGGACACAATACTTGAAATGAGGCCTCATCTGAGCAGAGTAGAGCGGAAGAATGACTTCTCGTGTCTTGTTCACAAATCCTGTTAATACATCCTAGAATCATGTTTGCTTTTTTTGCAACAGTGTCACTCTGGTGACTCATATTTAGCTTGTGGTCCACGCTGACCCCAAGATACCTTAGAGTTAAAGTTGAATTCCCTCCCCTCCCCTCCCCTTCCCAGTGTTGACCTGGCCTCAATAAAGCAGCACCATGAGATTCTTCTACCTCCCTCCCAATATCAGCTGTGTCCTGGAGAAGGGGGAGAGGGAATTTCAGGCTCTACAGTCAGTCTTGGGCTCTCAGCTGAGGCTGCCTGCTGTGGGAGAGGAAAAGGGTCGGGAGGGTCAGTTGTAGGTAATATTTTTGAGGACTTGTCCAGTGACTTACAGCTAATCTGAACTGTTGCCTTCAACAAGCATCTGCATCCTACTGCGAAAGTCATCCAGTCCTTCCGCTTACAATAGAGTGGGATCTATGTGCAGTCGGACTGTGGTCTTGAATAGATACTGTAGGAAGTCTCAGAGGGGTAACTGTATTAGTCTGTGACTTTAAAAATGACAAGTAGTCCTTTGGCACCATAGAGACTAAAATTTATAGGCTCATGAGCTTTTGTGGGTAAAACCCTAGGCTTAGGTGGGAATTAAATTAGGCATAGGATCTGGTGCTGGCCCTCTGTACAGGGCTGATTTTCACCCCAATCTTTTCCCCTGCCACTGCAGAATTATCTCAATTGTTTTTTGACATCTTCAAGAAAAGGATTCTTTTTATTTTGTCTTTTTATTTTAACCTGTTGCAGTCTCAAGAGCATACAGACAACAGGATTGGGAAGCTAGCTGGGAGAGGGAATTTCAATAGTCATCTAAAATTTGTAAGAACCCTTTTCCCCCCTCAAAGCACAACAGAAATGTAATCAAAATAAAACCTGGGCACATGAACCCTGAAATGCAGTTGAAATACGTTCTGTGGCAGCGTGACGGTGATAATAAAAATCAGATGGCCAATTTCATGGGTGTCTGCTATTCAGCAGACCATATACTTACCAACTGGTAACTTGATTTTCTGACTTTTTTGTTTTTCTGCAAGCAGCTGCTGGTACAATGTTAACCGTGTTTGGCTTTACAAGCATTCGAGTGGGTGAGGGTTTTTGTTTAAGAAGGTGACAGAATCCCGAGACATCAACACCAACCATAAGGCTCCCTAAAAGCTATTTACAGGAAATAAGGGGTCACTGTCCATTTTTCAGCTGTCTTCAGACTGATGGGTACCAAGTGGAGAACAGGTTACAGCTATTAGGGATATGTGGGGAACTGAAGAACTAATGTTCCTAGTCAGCCCACCACCAACGCTATGTCTACACTGGCAGGTTGTTGCGCCAGAAGCATGCAAATGAGGCTAAGCGTGGAATATCGCCGAGCCTTATTTGCATACCTAATGAGCCACCATTTTTGCGGAAGAGGCTCTTGCGCTAGAAGGAGCTGTCTACACAACCCGCCAGTGTAGACATAGCCCAAGGGGGGGAGGGGGCAAAGGGGCAATTACCCAGGGCCTGGAGTTCCCAGCCACCACTGCTGCTATTGCAGCAGCAGCCAGAGCCCTGGGCCCTTTAAAATGTTGCTGGAGCGCTGCAGTGCATGTATTGGGCAGCACCGAGGGCTGGCTGCCCCAGCCCCACCCCTACTGGCTGAGGTCCCATCCCTTTCAGGGGTGTTAAGTACCCCTCCCCCCACTTTGCCCAGGAGCCCAGCAAGCTTGTGGCCCCACTATTCCTAGCTGTGGACAAGAGCTGTGTGTGTCACAATTCAAGTAAAATCTTCATTCCAAAGTCTCTGTTGTGGGGTACATACACCCCATCCCGAGAGGGGGCAATCACAGGGCCGGGCCCTGCTTGCATTGCTGTGTCAGTCTGTCACCTCAAGGCAGGGTGGCCCAATGGCCAGAGTCTGTCAAGCCACCCTTCTTTGCAGGGGAGCACGTCATCCTTTCCAGCATCTGGCCCAGACTGAGCTTTGGGGCTCCCTTTTATATTATCCCAGCACTTGGAGCAAGCCCACTATAGCTGGAGGATGGAACTGCCTCCGCCCACAGGGTATTAACCCCTTCCAGCCCCGTATGGAGTATGCACAACCCATCACAGATTCACAGAGCGCAGAGAAGGGTTCTTTGCCTAAGGCCCACGACAGGGAGTCAGAAGATCAGAATTTTATTTTTGGTGTCTCTGTGACAAACTCCCAGGAGCTAATGTCCCACACTCACTGGTTTGACAGCTCTGTAATGCCACTGATTTCAGTGGCGATGCTTCTGATTTGCAATGGTTTGAAGGAGAGATCCAGACCGACTGTAATTGCCTGTCTGCAAAATAGTGATGATAATAGTGATGGTGCTGCCAGGCTGACTTCGCTAAGGGCTATAAAGCACTGGGTGAGTCTCAAATAGATAATTCTCCAGAAGGGCTGAAGTAGCTGGGTGCACACATGCAAGGTAACGTTACAATAGACAGGAATGAGAGAGTCTCTCATCCACCATCCAAAGGTGACTTGAGCCACTCCCCTCCCAAAGTAAACAAGCACTCTCAGAGATTCCCACTTACAGAATTAAGCAACTATGCAAGATGTTGTCTTTTTCCAAGAGCTGCTCTAGTTCAACCACAAACTGACTCCATGCAGAAATTGTTGGAGATTCTCTAACCTGGCTCGTGAAAGAGATTAGGGTTGGTGATTTTTAACAGAAGGGTGATTATAACCTCTATCCCTGCTGCTCACAGTCTCCAAGTTACTGTCAAAGAGTTGCAGTTCAATTCTGTATCTTAAGGGCACACTAAGGACAGAACAAGAACATCACCTGCCCAGTAGGGGTTATATCGCCTGTGTATGAGGGACAATCAAAGCAGTGCGCTTTCTACACGGCTAACAGTTTCACATGCTAGTTAGAGCATGCTGCTGTGGAAATAACAAGGGAGAACATTGGCAGGGACACACAGGCCTGGACAGGCTGGGGCTCCACCTTCATTTTAGCCACAAATGTAGCAGCTTCAATGCAAACTCTTACAGGCAAAGCTGCATGAAGCCAGCATAGGAGCTGCCGATTCACTGGAGATGGAATTGGGGCAAATCTCCAGAGCAGATAAAACAATTCTGAACAAAACAATTGCTGAGCGTGGTTATACGTTAAGGTGTGTGAACAGAGCCAAGCTGCGACACTTCTGTTGTTGGTTTTCCTTTTCCAGGTGTTTGGCTTACAGACCTGGTACACGTAGCAGCTCATGAAATCGGACACGCCCTGGGACTCATGCACTCCCAGAACTCCAATGCCCTGATGCACATCAATGCCACTTTAACTGGGAAAAAGACCATCTCCCAAGATGACGTCTGGGGGATTCAAAGACTCTATGGTGAGAAGAAAGGGTCTGTTAAGTTGCCGTTGCTGTTCGTGTAAAGCAGTGATTGTCAAATAACAGGTCACAACCCAGTACTGGGTCGCAGAAAATCAGGCAGTGGGTTTCCTTGCGGCAGGGTGACTGGAGGGCTGCTAAGGTCAGTTTCATGCCTGTCCTGGCACTGCGGACTGTGCCCGCATACTGAAACCCTCTGGCCCACCCTACCCCCAGCTTGCAGTCCAAACCCCTCTTCTCTGGCCCCACCTCAGTGCCCCCATTTCCAGGCAAAGCCTTCACCCCTTCATTCCTGCAGCCTCAGGGTAGAGCCTGCTCTCCAGACAAAAGATTTGGTGGGTCATGGCCATCAATACCAGGGATGTTCGATAGCGAGTAATTGAATAGTCATGTAACAGCATGAAATCTTAGCGGTTACACTACTATTCAATAGTCCCAAGGGGTGGGGACCACAGCCAGTATGCTCCCAGCCCCACTCCCAGGGAGCACCCTGCTATCCCATGCTGCTGCCTCTTTCAAACCAGCTCCCCATGCAGATCAGCTGCCTGTCACCCCATGTTGCTGCCTCTGATACAGAGGCAGCAGTGCAGGGTAGCAGCAGTCCCTGTCCGCAGGGAGCTCGGATGCCCCGTGACCAGGAGCTGCTGCAGCAAACAACTTCTGTCCATGGTGAGCCAGGGCTGCTGAGGACAGACACTGCTTCCTGGCATCCTTCCCTGCCCTGCACCTCTCACAGAGGGTGCAGCATGGGGGAGGGTGGCAGGCATCACTGTGGAGATGGTGCTGGGGAGGGGGGGGAAGGGAGAGGGGACAGGCAGGTCCTTGGAGCCAGCATGCACAGGGAGCCTACTTCAAAGCCGGCTCCCCACATTTATTGGCTAATCAGAAGCAGTAAGGGCGGGGGGAGGATCCGGTGCTCATGGGGCACTGGCTCCTGGTTCCCCCACCCCCTTGCTGCCTCTAAAATAGGCAGTAAGGAGGTAGGGGTCCAGGAACTGCATGTAATCATCCAGGCTTATTGGTTAATTGTGTAGTCGACTACACACTGACATCCCTACTCAACACAGGCATGGCGTGCGGGTTGAGAGAAAAAGTTGGAAAACCACTGGCGTAAAAAAATAGAGTAAAGGCCTGATCCTAAGCAGCACTGATTTCCCTTCGCCCTATCGTGGCTTTAATGGGAGTCGTGGGTGCTGTGTGCCTGGCCAGACTGGACTCTGATTTCACAAACAAAGAGGTTTTGGTGGGTAAGTTCTGTAGTTTCCCAGTCAGCAAGTTCACTTCTATGCTACTTAACCTCTTACGCTACTCTCAGAGGCCAGAGAGGGTCTAGGCAAGGCAGAGAAAGGTGAGCTTCCTAAAACATGTAAGCAAATTTACTGCTGTAGCTACTGGGAGGGTATGGAGGAAATGTTTGACTCCCCTCACCTCTGCAAAAAATTGTTCTTATTCTGGGTACAAGATTGACAGGCCTGAAAATGCACAGAACAAGAGAAAGCAGTGCCAATGCAAGGTTCTCCGGTCTGCTCCACCAACGTACCTCAGCCTAGATTTGTGACCATTTCTCGACTCCATGGTTGTTCACATCTTGGCCCCATTAGTCCCACTTTCAACTGGGAGAGGTCAATTATCAGGTCAAGGGCAGCAAGTGCATCCATGAGTAAAGTAACAAACACAAACTTACAATGCAACTCCCCAAAATCTTGTTCCTTCAGCTTATGAACCTGGAGAAGCGGCTTGTGCTGGTACGTGCTCATCTGCTAAATTCAGAGCTGTGTGGGAAGGAGACTGGCACATGTGAGGAGGAAGGCACAAAGTGACTGCCAGTCATCACCAAATTAATTTAATAGGCAGCAGGTTTAAAACAAACATAAGGAAGTTTTTCTTCATTCAGCGTAGTCAACCTGTGGAACTCCTTGCCAGAGGATGGTGTGAAGACTACGACTTTAACAGGGTTCAAAAAAGAGCTAGACAGACTCATGGAGGTTAGGTCCATCAATGGCTATTAGCCATGATGGGGAGGAATGGTGTCCCTACCTTCTGTGTGTCTGGAAATGGATGACAGGAGAGGGATCACATGACTATTTACCTGTTGTGTTCCCTTCTTCTGGGGCATCTGGCATTGGCCACTGTCGGCAGACAGGATACTGGGCTAGATGGACCTTTGGTCTGACCCAGTATGACCACTCTTATGTTCTTATCGCTTGGAAGTCTGGACTATAGCTTATTTACAGCATGGGAAGGCAACATGACCAAAGCAAGACCTCCCCACACACCAAACTGACACACAGCAGGAGAGCAAGCTTATCTTGGTAACTAGTGTTTTTTTTTCAAGGGTTCCTCAAGCCAGTGCTCACAATTACATTGCTCTGCACAGCCATTTATGCCAGACTGGCACATAGTACGCTGACATTAAGGTCAGAGCTGCAGCTGGTGTCACAGCTCCACGGAAGTCAAAGGGATCAGACTGTCAGCTGGAGCAAATTGTCACAGCTCCACAGCTGGCCTTGCCTACTGCAAGTTACTTCATGTCTGTTAATGAAGAAGTGGGCACTTTTCTATAGTTATGGGGTGTGCTTGTTTTAGGCTATCCTAAACCCTTCAGGTGAGAATGGCAAATCAGACTTACGTGATGTGAGCCAATGTCATTTCATTGCACACTTAATGCACCTTTGATGCTTTCTCCTTTTATTTCAGGCTGCACAGACAGACTATTCCTATGTCCACTGTGGACGCGGAAGGGTTTCTGTGAGACTCGTATGAAGCTGATGAAAAAGCATTGTCCCGCCAGCTGTGATTTCTGCTACGGTATCAGCTCCTCTTGTAGGGTTACGGGTCATAAGAGTTGACAAGAGGGACAAAGTTAAGCTAAGTTATATGTGAATGATAGTGACAAATGACAAGACTCTTTCAGACCAAAGAATTCAGCAATGAATGATGTCCCAACACACTAGCTTTGCCTATTGCATTTCAGCCACATGTTTTACAGAGTATAGAGAAGTCTGCTGACCTGGTCTAACTTTCCTAAAGCCCTGACAGTCTCTGAACATACACTTGTTCCATTTATCTCAGGCTACTTCCCTATCTAATCCTTTTTGGGAAGTTAACTGCTGGGGGCGACATTCAGAGATGAGGTATAGGGCAGCATCGCTTACACAACAATGGGACAGAAAGCGGGAATGTTGTGAGCTAAAGCAGGTTGGTCTAACTTATACTGTGCATCAGCTCTGCCCTTGGCTCTCTGTATCTAACTCATCCCTCTGGAAATCTGGAAGCTACAGAATTAAACAAATTCCAGTCTATTCCCTGGAAAAAGCATGTAATTAATTGCACAGTTAACACACTTTGGCTCTGAAGAATGTAAGTCAAGGAGACCAGCACAAAAGCATTGGTGGTAATACTGAATTGCAGATGAGGTATCATTATGTTAACAGGCACTGCTACTTCAGTGTACATGCTATGATGCAATATGAACACATTTGTTAGCCTGAACCAAAGGAAAAAAGGCACTTGAGTTGTGTAGTTCCATTTGGACTGGAGCTAGATAGTTAAATCTAGTAACAAAGATGTCTGTGTGACCGAAATGCTATTCTAGTTTACATAAGCTGTTTCCCTGCAAAGATGCTTGTATGAATCCAGGATGTGAGATTTTAAACCTTCTTCTTCCTCCCTGCTCCCTTCCCCACACCAGCAAATAGCATGAGACTTGCACTAAACTCACAAGTATTGGCAAGGGCGTGATGATGGACAGAAGCCCACCCATGTCATCTTGTGCCACTGAAATGCCCTGGGAGGTGCTATGTGTGATAGTCATGCCTTTCCAATACTGGCTTCTTTAGGAAGAAGCTGCGAGGAACTACTATACAGAAAAGGACATCGAAAAGGCAGCGTGGTTATTCAGAAATGCTTTGCAATGGGACAGACTGACTTAGTTGGTTTTTTTCCCCTCCCCTCTCCTGGTGGCCAGAATTCCCTTTTCCAACAGTAGCTCCAACTCCTCCTCCACCCAGGACGAAAACCAAGATTGTTCCTGAAGGCAGAAATGTCACTTTTCGCTGTGGACAGAAGATTATTCATAAAAAAGGCAAAGTTTAGTAAGTGCTCCTTCCTCATTCCAATCCTTTGGGGGACCCTGCATTTTACAGACAAAATAATATCAAACATACAGAAATCATGTTCTGAGTGAGTTTTTCTTTGAATAGGAACGGATGTCACTGGAGTAAATCTTCGGACCTTTTTTCCATATAGAAGTGACACTACAAAGTAGCAGTTTACTGACACCTATGGCATTAAGGCTTCTTTTTATAGCCATTAAAATGACAAAATATCACTTATTTGTATTGCAGTAGTGTTTAGGGGCCTTGGGCAAAGAGAAAGAGGCTGCTCTGTGGGAACACAAACAATCCCTCCAACAAAGCTCTTACAATTTAAGTATAAGACATGAGAAAATCAGGAGGAGACAAACAAAACGAGGGAGCACAAAGAACAATGTAAAATTTAGCCCAGTGGGGAATGCTACAGTAGAAAGGAAGGAAAGGACTGAAGGTTTTGGGGGGAGGGGTGATTATTACTCTATGGTGTGGTCTTGTCTGTGCTAGGACATAAGCCCAATGCAAATTTTTGCCAATACTGACAAGCCCCCTAAATGCACTATGATCCATGCGCTTTGTGTTTTAATTTTCACTATTTTTCTTATGACAGCTGGTATAAAGATAAGGAGCTTCTGGAATACTCGTATCCAGGTTACTTAGCTTTGAACGACGACCACATGAGCATTATTGCCAATGCAATTAACGAAGGAACCTATACCTGCATTGTGAAGAAAAAGCAAAGAATCCTGACTACCTATTCCTGGAGGATTAGGGTTAGGCACTAACAAGGGACTTGAATGACAATTTCAAGTACTGCTAGTTATGTTTCAGACAAAAATCCCATCCTCTTCCGCATTTTATGTTTAACCTCTGGCAGAGCACTCCAATCAGCTGCTACCATTGGTTGGGCAAAAAAGTAGGATGCTGGGACTTGACTGAAAAACTCTCCTCCAAGAGTTTAGTATTAAAGAATTTATCAAGCATATGGTCCTGCAAAAAGAGAATTTAAAAGGGGAAAAAAAATCTTGACGCCAAGATGACCCAGGTAATTGTGGATCATTTAAAAACTAACCGTTTGGTTGTATTAATGGAACTTGGCTTTAGATTAAAAATGGATGTAGCAATAGCTTTGCATATATATTTGAAACAAAAGGCGTGGTTAATGTTCCAGGGTTTTTCTTGCTCTCAAGCATCATTTCTTTATAATCAAATAACATTCTAAAATCCCAATGTGGGGCATTACATGGGCTTGAAACAAGAGACCAATCCGTGGCAGCATTCTCCAGTGATGCTGTCTTATTCAAGCACTGAAGGAGTGTGCGTGTGTGTGTGGGGGTGGGTATCTAATTCTAGAATGAACTTTTTCCAGGAACTCATTTCCCCCCCTGTACATTTTTCTGTGGTTTGCATTTATCACGATGTGTTATTTACCTCTGTCTGCAGCTTTGAAGCCTTCATCCGATGACATTCTTAGATAACAAGTTACCAAATCACAGGCATTTTTCTGTATAAATAAAACAAATGATAGAAATGCTTTTGTTTCTTGGATTAGGTAAACATCTGATGAGTAATGAGACAGGCCAATGCAATCAGACAGCATCAGGGAACTGCTATTTCCACACAACAACTATTACTTTGCAATGATATATGCAACAGAACAGTAGTAGAGCTGAAATTACATATTAATCAGCCCCTGTAAGTTCTATAGAAGAATACTTCCATATTTACAGTAATGGTTCAACTAAAGGACAGCTCCTTAGCCTGGGTAAATGTGACATAGCTCTAGCTGACTGCAGTGGAGCTAAGCTGTTTTATGCCAAAGCGGGCCCTGTCCTGATGATCTTTGTACAGGTTGTACCCTCCTAACCAAGAACTCTCTCTGGTCCAGCAACTTCTGTGGTCTGGCAGGACTACAGATGTCCTTGGACCAGAGAACCGAAGGGTAGAGAAGTCTGGACTTCCGGCCACGCTGCCAGTGGCAGGGAGCTAACTCTGATACCTTGGCCATGTTACTCTCTCCATGCTCCAGCTCCCCATCTGTCACGGGCGGATAACACTTCCTCTGTCCAAGATTGTTGTGAATTCATTAGCTTATGTAAACTGCTCTGATACTGTGTCACAGAAAGCCTATCAGTAGAAACATGCAATCCTCCAGGACACCACTCTTGGGAATAGCACCTCTGGCTTTGCTTCTGGGCTGAGCTCTGCTAACAGAGATAGGGATGGAAGCGACTAGTCAACTACCTGATAAGCAAAAGCAAAAGCTTATTGTATAGTCAACTAGTCCCTCAGTCCCCCTCCCCCCACCTTCTGCCTCTATCAAATGTATTTAAAAGGCTGGTGCGCAGTAGGGGGGACCCTGCGTGAGCTGGGAATCAGCTGTCCTGGCTCACACTGTGTCCCTCCTGCTGCACTTTAGCCTTTTAAACTTATTAAGAGCCAACAGGTTCTTAATACGTTTAAAAGGCAAAGCTGCAGCAGGGTTAGCTCCTGGGTCGGGAGTTAAGCCTGCTGCGGCTCTCCCACTTATCAACTGTTTGATGGAAAATCCATCGACTAGTCAATTTAATTGATTAAACTATATTTAACATCCCTGAACAGAAATCCCTGCTCCCAGTGATATGGGTGCAGGCAGGGGTTGGGATAGTAGATCCCAAAGGAATAACATCTTTGTGGTTCTGTTGGGGACAGATAAAGAAAATATTCATAGGCTTCCTGTAAAGCTAGACTTCTGCCCAGCAACTGTCCCATAGAGTCAGTCTCTCTGGTGGGAGGAAGAATAGCAGGAAGTGGCTTGCATAATAAAGGAGAGGATTTGCACACCAGAAAACCATCCAGCCCTAGGTGCCATTCAAACAGAGGGGTAGGCACCATCAGTGTTAACCAACCACAACAATTTTGCCAAGGCTAGAACAGGACTATGACAACAAACCTACTAGATTTCTGGTCATTGACAGAATCTTCCTAGAACAGCAGAACAAAACAAAACAAAACATGTATTTCTAAACACAATCACAAGCAAAAAATGTTTAGAAATATTTCAGGCCTTCTTCAAAGAGTAAACAAGGACCAACCCAGTTTCCCATACTTTGCACAATATGAGAAAAATCAGATTTTTAAAAGCCTTCTACATTCCCATTTCTATCACCCAACTTTGAGACTGAAAACACTTACCCACTGTGGAAGCGCATTTTCAAATATTCAAATGCTTGAAAAGAATGGTTTAAAATAGGGACATTTAACCACCCACCAGGGTCGGAGCGCGATGGAACAGCCTCTTACTCATGGTGCAGTGGGTCCAGCTTGGCTAGAACAGCCCCCTGCCTGCAGCAGGACCTGCAGCGCTGTGGGTGGAGGGCTGCTCTGGCCAGCTTGGCACCGGTTAACTGATTACCCTGGTAAGTATGCTGGTAAGAGGTTTACCGGTTAAACCTTTACATCCTAGTTTAAAACCAATTAAACATTGCAATGCCATTTCTGAACTAATGGTCTTCAAAGTATTTTCTCACCATATTTTGGTTTTACTGACATTAAGATTAAAAAACAAACAACTTACCCATCTATTTTAAAGGCCCAGCTTTTAATATGGAAAACACTTGGCCAGTCATACACAAGGTATATATGCAGGACCTATAAAAAAAAGTCAGAGTCACTGCTGGGAAAACATGATTAGCATTTCACTATTATTTAATCCATATTTTTCTTCTTACAAATTTATATGTACAAATAAATTTAGGACTTGATTTTAAATGATTATATCATAAAAAATGATTTAGCTATCTTAAAATAATCATCTTTTTATGCATGGACAAGTCAAACTAGGATCACACACAATAAGTGCTGCATATGGGAAAACAGACATTTAAATTAAAAGATTAAGTGCTTTCTTTGCTTGCTACTTTAAGCTGAGACAGACCAATTGGAATGCTGCTCCACAGAGACAAGTAGCAATATGTGTCTCCACTGGAACATCTGGAATCACACACTTTTCAAAACCACACCAAATTCCCATCTTAATCTAGCTTTAAGTTTGCTTTACTAAAAAATATCTCGGCTTGCAGAACTAATCATCTCCCGCTGGGAATCAGACTTTTCAATGTGCTGTGTCCATTTGTGGCCAAGAGAACAATAAAAAAGTTATGCTACACAAAGTTTACAGTGGAGTTTGACATACAAAATATAAAGTCACATTTTTAATCCTTTATCAGCTGTTTTGCAGATCATTTCAAAATGTGTTCTTGCTCTTCAGTCTGAGCGCTACTGTACAGAAGCTGCTTTTACATACGTTATTAATGGCCCCACAGCTCCAACATAGTGCCATCTTGCCAAAATCCAGCACATTTCAGAAGTAGACAGGTAACAAGAATAAAAATCTCCACCTCCCTCCCCTCCCCCATTTACTAGAATATTAGAAAATCAGGCCTAAGAGAAAATATTTATACAATTTACACACTTCTGTTTTCCTCCAAGAATATTTTACTTTAAAATTTATGACAATCTGAATATATAAAAATCCTGTTTCTAAGGCTCTGATCCAGCAAAGCACTTAATATGCTTCACTTTACGAACATGAATAGTTGCACTGAAATCAATGGAACTACTCATATAATTCAGATTCAGCACTTTACTGGGTGGGAGCCTAATTCTAATTGCATGAATGCCCCAACTTTTTACAGTATTCCTTTCTGACATCTTCTCACCACTGAAAAGGACAGTTCAGTTATAAATTAGAAACTCAAAAAGTACAACATTCCAGGACAATTCCTATGGAAGGCTAGCCTATGTAAGTTTTGAAATGCGGCCCTGTAAATTCAGTACATTTTTTTTTTGGACAGGGGAATGACATTAACAAGGCTACCGATAGAAAATATTAAACATTTAAATCCCCGTATTAAAAATTTTTGATTTATAAAATAATATTGCAGTTCTTGTTCTGTACCACAGCCATTGTGAATATATACATACAGTAGGGCAAACAGTGAAGTAGTCAACCCATCATAAACCACTTGGGGCCAACAGTGCTTTCAAAAAGGTCATCAATCAGTATTAAGCACACAATACAGCTCTCTCCAAGGCACAGAATAGGAGAGACACCTTAGAAATGCCTTCAGGGTTTCTTGCTCAAATAAGCACCTGAATTCAAACAGATAATCATCTTTACAAAAGAGCTTTTCTACCTGTACTGACAATACGCTTCAACTTGTGTAAGCACAAATAGGGATAATGAGGAGCAAAAATATCTCTTAAGTTTCCTCTCTAGAAGATTTAGTGCCACCATCATCCAAGTCTGGTGCAGGTGAAGAAAATGAAATCCTTCACACTGTTAAACAATTAAATATGGATTTTAATTCTACAAATTTACAAGCAAAAAATTTAAAAAATTAAAAAATAAAACAAAAACAAAACAGTTCCAAGATTGTACTTCAAGTTTTCTTTTTTGAATTTTTGTAATGATCCTTGGCTTTTTGGATTAATTCATTCCAGTCCCTTGAATGGAATGCAGCAGTTATATTCCACACTCAGTAAGATGACATCTGGCTCTTCCTGTGTAAAACACAGAGTCTTCCTGATGCAATGAACAAAACTGGAGCACTTTGGAATCCATTCATCAACAGCATGGTTGAAGTCCAAGCTCTGTCTTTTTCCCCCCTCCTCATATTAAGTTTAAAACTTCAGGCTGAAGCCAGGTCCTGCTGCAGATGCTCCTTGATTTGTAGTAGTGAGATGAAAACCTGTATCTTTCAGATCATCATCACCCTGTAAAATGAATATATAATTCATGTGTTTATAAGTAAGAAATGTACCCAGGGTTCCTTGTAAGCTATGTGCTTGTGCAGCCACTCAGAAGAGATTCAAAATGCCATGCAGCTAACTAACAAAGCACCTACTGGTATGATTTTTACTGGTGGTGCACATTCACACGTGTCTCAGAGCACATGAAAAAAATTATTCCATACATGGCACCATTGAGCTCTAGGTGGGTTTTATTCATGTTATTTAATCAACACTCCAGGGTTATATTTCCAAAAGGACTTTCTCTCTGAGCATGCAAAAACAACTGTGACATCACTATCTTACTAGTTCTGGTTAACCAGTAGGGGCTGGAGCAGATCCCTCCCACCCCAAGCAGGGGGCTGCTCCAGCCCCACAGGGCCCACCAAAGGCTCTGGCCACCAGAGCAGCCCGTTTCTGGCAGTCCCAGCTCGCCCCCTCCCCCCAGGGTACACTCTGCTCCTGGGGAGCCAGCTGCAGAGCCCACAATGAAGCCTCCCCAGTAGGGAGGAGACAGCCCTTGCCAGCCCCGCTCTCAGAGAGCCAAACTTAGCTGTGGGGTCTGCAGTATAAAGTTTATATAAAAGCTTTTTACTGCAGAGCCCCCAGCGTGAGTAACCACTAGAATTTTTACACGGTTACATTTCTAAATGACTTTTTACATGCCTAATCCAAAGAGCTGTGGCTGCTCAAGCCGAACTCAGCAAACAGGAACATAGGAAGCACAAAAAGTGGAACAGGAATGAGCCTCATTTTCCT